GGCAGAGCATCGGCACCTTGTCAGCAAACAGCCGTGCGGCACAGCAAACCCTGACGTGGGCTCAGCGCTCTCTGTACAGAGATACCACCACCAGAAATACGTCCCCACACGGGGCTTCCCAGCCCAGCCAGAGGGAAAGCGGACCAAGGCCAAAGCACCTCATAAGCAAAACCCTCTGGAACCCCCGGGTCTCCTTCAGGTCTTCTCCACAGTGCTGTCGGTTCCTGCCTGCCCCAGCGACACGTGGCAGCACCACCTTCACAAAGTGGTACAGACGGTCCCAGCTCAGAGAGGAGACGTGAGGTCTGGCACAGAGGCAGAAATTCTCCCATAACCAAACCACCCCAAATCCCCCCGGCTCAGCATTTCTCAATTTCTTGTACAAACCCTGCTCGGGGACAGGCGCTTCAGCCCTTCCGGCGGAGAACAGCCCCGGCACAGGAGGGCTCGGAGGTGGCCGGGCACGGACCGGCGCAGACCCCACGGCACAGCCCACCCGAGGGACCTCCTTTCGGGGGGCTCAGCGGGCAGCTGAGAGAGCAGCGGCAGAAGAACCAAGGCTGGACCGTGCCTGTTGGCAGGAGTTGGTGGGGGCAAACCCTGCTCGGGGGAAATCCCTGCCCACCCCACCACAGCCCTTCTCCTGCCCAAACACACCTCACCGAAAGCTGCAGTGGCAAACCAGCACGTGTTATTCACTGAGGACAGAGATATATCTCTGAAAGGGCTTTGTTGGAAAAGGCGTTTGTTAAAGAAAAATAAACCATCTGTTGATTTATTGTCCCCCCAGGAGGGGATTCAGCAACACGGCACAACAATGGTTCGACAGCAGAGGAATCGCACCCAGGCTACAGAGACCATCACTGGGAAATGTGGCTGCTAGGACAGAGAGGTTGTAATGGTTTCAGTGGCCAGACTGGATCTTTCCACTGGGTCTGCTTGTGCGCGAGCGTCAGGCCATGGAAACTCATTTAGCGAGACCTGTTTGTTACCGCCTGGCTGCCCCTTGAGGGAACAAACATCGATTGGTCAGAAATTACATTTTCAGACACGTTTGGGTGACTTTCTCACTCTCCAAAGTGCTTCACCTCCAAGAACTATTGTATTAAACTCGCCCTAGCAGAGTGCTGCTATTTCTCACGGAGTAGGCTCCAGCCACCTTGTTGACTGTAGCGTGGCTGAGGCAAAGTCCCATTTATTCCTGCCAAAAATATCTCGAACCGAGAGACGAGGCGAAGCTGCGGGAGGTGGGACTGTGCGGTCTGAAGGAGAGAAAGGGAAGGAAGGATCTAATTGTTGCCCTCGGCTACCTGACGGATGAGGTGTAGTCCGCCTCGTCTCAGATGCACACAGTAAAAGGACAAGAGGGAACAGGCAGAAGATGCAGCAAGGGAAAAATTACTCATCCAGAGAGTGATCAAGCCCTGCACCAGGCACCCAGAGACGGTGAGAAATCTCCAGCCTAGGAGATGTTCAAAACTCAGCAGGGCTGGTCCTGAGCCAGCTGAGCCAGCGTTGAAGTTAGCCCAGCTTTGAGAAGGGGTTGGACCAGAGCCCTCCAGAGGCCCTCTCCAACCTCAACTCTTCTGCAATGCTAATGTTCTTCCCCGAACCTCAGCAGTTCGGATTTCAGCTCTCGGCAGCTCAACAAAGCGGGGTGGAACCATGGGTCAGGGAGGGGACACGCAGCGCTGCCCACCTCCGGCCCTCCCAGGGCTCAGGGCAGGGCTTCACAACCACGTACCTTAAGGGTACGTCTGCAATCCCTCAAGAGTACCAGCTTGCCCCAGGACAGGTAGTGGTCAGAGTTTCACCTACTTCCAGCAGAGCCACATAAACATGACACGATTATCTTGTAAATATGTTTGTGTTTTCAAACCCACATCTCCGGTGTTACAGAGAGATCACCAGCCCATGTAATCGGATCCAAACACAGCTATTTACACGTCCTCCTGCCCGCCAGCGGCTTCCTCCCAAACACAGAGCCGCTCGACGGAGAGCCCAGTGCAGCATTTGACTCTTCTGTGACTTTGTTCCCTATCACACCTTTCTCTTTCAAATTCCCCCCACAACACAATCCATACGGGACCAACCTGCCTCAGGAAAAGCCCAGCTCCTTGGGGAAAGACTCAACCTTTCACAGCTTGCTCCAGCCACACGATTGCTGCATGCCAGGAGAGTTTCAGTGCCCAGGCAGCAGGTCTGGCAGCAGAACCTGCCCTCCCCGGAGCGGCCGGGAGGCTGCCCCGTTGTATCCCCTTCTCAGATTCAGCCCCTGATGCACAGAAGTAGCTCCAAGCATCTTCAGC